CCAAACCATTCTATGATTCTATGATTCTGATATTGATTTAAGTGCTCTGGAAGGCATGCACACAGTGGTTACCAAAAAGCTTTGCTCAGCACTACCCAGTGATTTCTATTTAAAATCAGTGGCACAAAGACAAAGAGGGGAGGTTGTGGTCTTGAGTGCAAAGGGAGCAGAGAACAAAACAAAAAGATAGGGAGGGCAATTCTGGAAGCAGCAACAGGCCATCTGGCAGACAAGCACCACTACCTCTAGATCAGGGTCCCGCAGATCAGCCCGCCAACCACACTGCTTCATAAGTGCTATGCCAACAGCTCTTCCCATCTCCTGCAAGAAGAACAGTCACAGGCAGAAAAAAAATAACAGAATTAAGAAAACCACAGATCACAGCCGTGAATGCACAATCTTCCCAAATACTTGGGAAAAGAAAGAGTCTCTCTTTATCCCTAGAGATAAAGTCTCTCTTTATCCCTAGGAGAACAATTTGTACAAAGACCAGAAGAGGTACAACAGTGAGTGAGCAAGGGGCAGAGCAAACATACCCCAGGAAAAAACGACTCTCACCCAGCTGGGGTGTGAGAGGCTGAAGTCCTGCCCAAAAGTTGTCATCATTTTGGAATTATACATCACACACAAAATACTTCTGATGGCTGTAAACCAGATTCTACCTAAGAGAAAAACCTGTGAATGCACAAGTGCAGCTCACGATTTTAACGCTGTTACGGCATCTAGAAAGCTCTGACTACCTTCAGAGTATTAAGAGTTCAAACACACAGCACACATTTAAGCAAACACTCATGTTGGCAGGCTCACATGTCCCACCTTCCCAAGGTACCAGCTTTAGTAGGAACAACAAAAAAATCTAGTTAAACTACTGCTATCTTCAAGTAAGAGAATCTAAATAAACTGCAGCTACACAGGGTTTGTTTTTTAATTTTTTTTTAAATTTTCAACAAGATCCAGCCCCAGGGCACCTCCCAGGGCTTCACCACCCTCCTGGGGAAACAACTTCTCCCAATAACCAACCAGAGCCCACCGAAGCTGCAACTTCTGGCTTTTGACCTTTTTTTACACTGCCACAGCTGAGTCTGGCTGCTTTGTCCATGCAGGGGTCCTTTAAATAGCTGTAAACTACTATCAGATCACTCCTCAGACTCCACAGGCCCAGCTACCTCAACCTCCTACCTTTACTTATTCTCAATAAAAGGCACTGCTTTGAAAAATATTCAGGGTAACAGTGCCCAGAAATTAACAACAGCCCTTCTATTTCCACTTGTTAAATCTAAATGCAGGTTAAGGGCTTTTTTGAGAAAATACAGAAAAAGCTTTGACCAGTTTATTATTCTAAAACATACAACACACAATTGAAATGACAAACTTACACATCTTCCTTCACCTTTGCTAAATTCTTTTAAAACACAGATACTTCAGCATACCTGTGAAGTAAGTATTTTTGCAATCGCTCCACTACAACGACAAGAAACTCTGAAACTGAAGCTAAGCTTCTCATTTGCAGTAGGTTCCTCTCCACTGCTTTTGGAGGGCTCTTCTAAGGAAGTCTTGCTTTCAGTCCAGCAGTCCTGGTCACTCTTTCTATCTGGGACCACACACCTCTCTCCAGCTTCCATTTGATATTCCTCAGACACAGTCTCCCTCCCTTGTTCTGTTTTCTGCCTTTTAGTTGCAATATTTATCTCTTCTTCTGATTTTCTCTTCTGAGGCAATGGGTTTTCTTGAGAGACACTGTCTTTTTTCCCCTCATACCCATGAAGGTTTCTCCAAATAGAGATAACATCCAGCCAATACTTTGGCTCCTCAATGACAAGGTTTTTAATCTCATGCAGCATTTTCCCTGGAAGAAAAAGCAGTTCCAGGTTAAGTGGTTCAGCCTCAGCATCTGATTTTCCTGTGGATTGAAAGCAGCTGTTAACAA